ATAACGCCATCACGGCTGAAAGGGCGAGCATGTTTGGTGTGATGAGGATTCGAACCCGCGACCCTCAGATTGCGAGTCGAGCGTCCTAACCACCTGACCATACCGGGCCCCCTTACTTGCAGGTGTATTTTTCTTAAATAATAATCTGCGGATTTCGAATCGCAGGCTTGTAGATATATGCATTGTCTTTAAACGCTATTTGCATGCAGAATAAGAAACTTAATAATGTGGTTTTAAAAAATCTGAAATGGCAAGCAACCAAATTTTTTTATAGTTTTTTTTCTTTAGTTATTAAAATGATTTAAATATTCGTGAGTTTTTTTCCTTAAGTTTCTCCAACATACAGATTTACTTCTAGCAATCGTAAACCAATACAAAAGTATTTAAAGGTACTTATAGTACTTAATATCAACATAAGAAGGCATGGCAAAACTTAGTTATTACAATTTTGTACTTAATTCCCTGATTGCATTAAGTATTTTAATACAACAAGTAACACTTGTGTGATATATGTTTACCACTTATTCAAATTATTGGAATTTTGTCTGGTAGGCTGAGAAGTATAAAGTTAAATATAGAAGTTTGTCCTAAAAAAAAATTATTGTTTCCTAATTTTATTTTTCATTTTTAGATACCGATAATAAAGTTAAACGATTTTTTTGTATATTTGTTTTCTAAAGGGGTCATCTCCAAAGTTCAGGAAAATCGGGAATACTTTCCTTTCGTCGTTAAATTTATACTTTACACGTAAGTGTTTCTTTATGAAGTAATATTCTCATCTAATTAATATTGTTACAGTACCAGGTTCAAGTTATCTTTCTGTTTACTGTCAGAAAAATAATATAAATAATGATTAATCATGATTTTAAAAAGAGTAAATTGTACAAACATTTTTATCCTTAACTTCGCGTTCGTTTGTAACTGCGTATATTAAGAATAAAGTACACTGTGATAATCAATTTTTAAAAATCAGACGAGATCTGTTTTATATTGATGGTATGATACAACTGAAAAAAAAATCATTTTGATTTTTAAATATTTTTAAATAAATGTGATTGGTCATTTTGATTTAGTGTTTCATACGTAATCCCATTAGTGGATATGCGATCATTCATGTGAATAATTCTGAAATGTGTTTTTATTCGTATCTTGAAAAACAACTTCTAATGCTTATATTTTTTCATACCTATACTTTCATAGACTGTTGTTTCTTCTGTTCTTCAATACCCTGTTGTTCTACAAACTTTGGTGTTTGGAAAGGGAAAATCTGAATTTGACAGCAGAAGTCACAGAATTGCAGCAACCGTTAAAAGAAAGGTAGTCTTATATATCGGGCGTTTAATGAAGGATGTCGAAAAATATTTTAGTCATCTATTTTCCTATTTTACTGCAGTCTCGATATTTAAATAATGAAATAATACAAGATTTATTTTTAAGTTTCTCTCGTATGTTGTTAAAAACTAGTGTATTACTTAATTTGTGAACGAAATAGGCAGGTTTGAGATAATGAAATATAAATTTTCTCTGCCACTCTGTCTGTCTGTACGCGGCGTATTGTGGTCTAAACATCGTAACTCAGCTTTCAACCACAGAATATAATTAAAACAGCTCATAATTTCGTGCACTTATGATTTTTTTTTTTAGTGTGTCACGTTTTCCTCGAAAATTAAATTTTAGTTTTAAAATACCCAAAAAGACCTTCGACAGAGGTTTTCGTGTATAGTTCACTTTTAGGTTGTAGTTAGAGTAGGTGTTTAACTTCAAAGTAGCCAGATGAAGTTGATATGGAAAGGGAGGGGAGGCAGAAAGTGAACTGATTTCAAAGGATAAAACTGATCTCCCCCCTGAAAAATTTGAAACATTTTATGAACACGGAGACTTATAGAAACTTACAAACACTTGTGTTGTAATATTTTAAAGTTGTGATATTTAACGACTTAACATCCACACTAGTAAGTATAAAATGTTTAGATACACGGTGCAAAATAAACACCTTATAAAGAACGATTAGAGTAATAATGTGCGAAAACATCAGGTCAAAATGTAATATAATCATAATGTAATAATCCTAATATTTTACAAAATTGAAACTACCTGTTACTCTTTAAACACTTGCAAAAAGGAAAATATTTGACCATTAGCAAAACTAGCTAATTTTAAAATTTTGTTTGATGATACAACCTGCGTCTTCATTCCAATTGTTTCTCCAGGATAATCAATACAACGAATATTTAAATCGCCTACATTCAACCTTATATTTTCATAGCGGTTACCACAGTTGCGGGTTCACATGTTTGATCACCTTTGTTATATTCATCATCTCCTGAATTAACCTTACACTGTCGGGGAAAATATAAGGTCCAGCAATTGTCATTGTTCTTCTCTTGGTACGTTGTTTGCCTCCTTTATACATACATATATATCCACTGTCTGATAAAACGTTGTATTTAATTTGAATACTAATTATCCAATTAAATACTGGGAAGACTGCTCAGAATAAGTAGTATTGGTATGATGAATGGGAAGAATCGCTTAAGACAATCATTTTAATTCGGAAAGTTGAAAGCTGTTTATAACTCCAACAAACCCGAATAAATACATCATTGTTCCAGCAAGAAAGTAAATTCCACAGGCAAGTAATGGTTTTGTCCATATCTTAAGCACCAAGTTAATGGCAAAAAATCTTTTAAAGAAACAATTTGAAAATAATACTAATAATAACAGTGTGTAGAATTTAATATAAACTGTAATAATTTCCACAAACACTTTAATTACGTTTTATGAATGGCTTATAGTATTATAAGTAAGCTATTTGATTCACGGATTCATATGTATGATATAAAAGGATTTTCAAAATAACGTACTGTTCATAATTTCAGATACAATAGCATGCCGTTCTGTATCGGTACCTGTTGTATTTGATGATTCCATACTTTAAAACTTCGCATATTATTTTTATTCTTTATTAAAAATGTCTTTTGATTATTTTCTTAACCCATTAATGGGAGCCTTTGATGGACTGCTTTGTGGCTGTCTTAGTTTGATGGTGTTTGATATTTACGGCTCTGATTCGAAACATGGAAAGCGACATCTGTTGACACAAAAATAAATGTTTAGACTGTACCTAAGATACGTAGAAAATGTTTACTGTATTTTCGTAATCCGTTATAATAAATAATGTATATAAGGAAGGTTATAATCAAAGATACGAACAATTTAGATTAAACTTTGTGTTGAAGCACTAGCATTTGAATCAGTCATAATTTCTTTCAGATTAAAAGGCCCTCCCTGGAGGATTACAGTTTATAGTTGCTGTAATGATATTTGATCATTGAATGAATAAAGGCTTCATCATTTCAGCCTTTTTATATATATATTAAAATATGACCTAGACGTTGTTTAATAGATTGTGTGAATTTTGTTTCATACTATCAACCAGACGACTCTCACGGGCTGCAGTACCAATAGCTTATTTAATTCCCTTTTTCTAATGTAGGTGTCTCTCTCTGATAATTACTTGTTTCAAATTTAGAATAGAATAATTCCATCTGATTTGGTCGACGACTCTAGCTGTTTACCAATGACATTGAATGCTAGGTCAACCCAATGTGAAAAAGATTCTTGCTTGTTTGTTTTTGCAACGTGATATTTCTGTCTACCAATGACATTAAATGCTAGGTCAACCCAATGTGAAAAATATTTTTGTTTGTTTGTTATTGCAACGTGATATTTCTGTCTACCAATGATATTGAATGCTAGGTCAACCCAATGTGAAGAAGATTTTTATTTGTTATTGCAACGTGATAGGAACGAGATAACTCATCGTCGTTTTTAGCTTGGCATGATCAGGTGGTTTGGGCGCTTGACTAGCAATCTGAGGGTCGTGGGTTTGAATCCCCGTCCCACTGAACCTGCTCGCCCTTTCAGCCGTGGGGGCGTTATAATGTGACTGTCCATCCCACTATTCGTTGGGAAAAGAGTAGCCCAAGAGTTGGCGGCGGGTGGTGGTGACTAGCGGCCTTCCCTCTAGTCTTTTACTGCTAAGTTACGGACTGCTAGCGCAGATAGCCCTCCTGTAGTTTGCGCGAAATTCAAAACGAACAAAACCAGTTGGAACGTTCTATCTCTTCTGCGTTATAGTTTTCTACACTATGATATTAGCACGACGCTTTACCATCTTATTTCCCTCACCTTGGCGAAAAGAGGGCATTTACTCACTCTTACGTAACATTTTACGCTTTTTTAAAGAAAATATTATACGTATCTTTCTTAATCCCAAAGTTTTTAATTTGTGACTATATTTCAAGTAACTGTTTTTGATGTAATTCCTTAAAGCTTTCATAACTACATCCATAAGTCAGTTATGCTGATTTGCTTGATATATCTTTGATTAACGTGTACAAACTTGTTTGTATTTTTATATTGAATTTTTCAACTCTTCAAAGAACTTTTTTTTTTTAGTTTTCAGTACATTTTAAGAGAAGACTGTGAGAAGTTAGTACAGCATCAAGAAATGTTGTACAGCGTGGAAGCCGAGAGTTGGTCAGAAATACTAAGTGACACACTACAGTTGACTCAGATCGTATGTATTTACTAATGTTTATTTGTTTGTTTTTAAGCACAAAGCTCGCGATAGGCTATCTATGCTAGGCCTACCGCAGGGACCTAACCCCCGAATTCTAGCGTGATAAATCCTTAAGCCTACCACTGGGTCACCAGGAAGACGTTTAATTATAGGTTCAAAAATGTTTTATAGACGCATCAATTATCTCATCCATACATTTAGGCAATAAAAATACAACACGTTCGTAAAACAGATCGAAAAGCACAGATATGAGATCGTCCTACAAGTACACCATTTTGTATAATTACAAATCCATACAGTGAGTATCAAGCTCCGTAGTATTAAGTGCGGTGATCAGAATAAACATTGTTGGTTGGGGTCATGGTAGGTCATGAGGATGCGCAGAACCGAAGATGAGAAGCTGGTAAATGCAATATTCTTCCAATGAAGAGCAGACGAAGTTTTCATCGCGTTTATACTCGACTGTGTATATCATTGATTACTATTTATTGTAACTGTCCCTTTATCTTGCCTGTCCGCGGAAATTTGTGAATATCTGAACAAGCATGATCGTCTTTAATGAACTGCATGAATCTAAATTACGTTTTTTTTTCTTCATAACTAATGATTGACCATCTGTTCAGTATCTACTTACTGTTATTATTTAATTCATAAATTGAGTTATTAGGTTTACAGATATAGCTGTATTGATGGAAGAAAAATCCGTTAAACTTTAATACAAGCAATGTTAATATTGTACTCGTACTCAAGATTTCAACTTGACCTCTCTTTTATACAACCACGGAAATAAAAGAAACAAATAGTTCACACCTTAATGTGTTAAACTTAGAAATGCCGATGGGATTCATATTTTTCTAAACCATTTGTGCTCAAGTTTGCTTGTAGGTATGATTTTACTTGTGACAGGTTCCTAATGATGATTCAAACAAAAATAATTGAAAATACTGTAATTACTGATGGGGGGTCTCCTATGCATTTTTATTTGTATTTTTTGTAGAAGATAAGTGATTTCACTAAATTATTTGGCCAGCTCTTGATAACGAGTGTTAAAACAAGCAAAAACATAGAATTGCTCAGTACGAAGTAATATTATGCATTTCTTTTAGTCGTTCTTGTATTATTTGGTAGACAGTTTGGACTTTTTTCAGTCTGTTTAAGAGAATAAACCTAATAAATTTTCATAGCTTAATGTTATTAAACTATATTTTTTCTGTTTTCACTGTTCATACTTCTTAACTAAATCATAATATTTGGTGTAGTTACTAAAATTAGATATAGGGCCCAATGTATCATTCGATTCGCAACTTGTCAACGAGTTACAATGATTTAAAGAACTTTCATCCTCTTATCAATAATCCCTGTAACCATGGGCAAGGGAAAATCGAAAAATAAGACTAGACTTGGTTTTAGGCAATTAAGAGTGAAGTGTTAAAAATAAACTGTTGGTAACATTATGATTCCATCACGTTATATTGCTATTGTTCCCCAGGTGGATCACCGAACAAGCTCGCCCTTTCAGCAGTGTGATGGTCAGTTTGTTTGTTTGTAATTAAGCACAAGGCCACACAATGGGCTATCTGTGCTCTGCCCACCACGGGTATCGAAACCGGATTATAGCGTTGTAAGTCCACAGACATATGGATAAGTTACCCCACCAGTATGGCTTAATACGTACAGTGCACATGTGAAGAACGCCTGTACCCCGATTTTTTTAATACTAGAGCTTTAAGTCCACAAATTCACAAATACAAAACAAAGTAATGTATAATGTGATCAGTTTACTTAAGTAACGACGAAACGTGTCATTTTAGGTTTTTTCGTTGTTGTTTTTTGTATTCATTATTCTGGTTTGCCGCACAGGTACTGTATAATAATAATAATAATAAATACGTATGTTATAACTATAGATAGCAAGTTCAATTTTAAAAAGAATTGCTCGAGATTTTTATACATTTCTTTGTTACTTGTTATTTGGGTTTTTAGTTTATCTATTCTCTATTACTATTAATTTTCTCACTTTCTTCCAATTTATTAATTTTAATTATATAGAATTTCGCACAGTTTAGTGTTGTATCTGGAGTATATCATAAATTAATGTTATAGCCATAGGAATGTAATTATACTGATGTTGCTTATTCGTTGATTTCAGATTCAAAAGTCCTTGATAGAGTTACAAATCTCTGCAGAACACCACCATAGTGGGAGGAAACAAAGGATGGTTAAAACAATGAAAGAACCAATAAGCAAAGAATTCGATAAAGATAAATCTCAAGATTATTTCACAAAAATCTCTATAAAGAAAGAAGAAAATATCAACGAAGCAGAGCTGATACTTTCTGAAGGGCAATCGGTCTCAAACGAACGTGAAACCCAAGATTTACATGTAAAAGAAGAAACCAACACTTAGTGAAAATTATGCTATTAACACTAGTTTCTGAGAGCGTAATACTTATCATGATTGTATTCATTATAAACTTTATAAAAGCGCTTTTGAAACTCGGTCGTTGCCGTTTCACTCCATATCTTGAATATCCTACTTTTATTTTTACAAAAATCAATATTTCTACAACTAAGTAATATTGTTTTAATATCCAAAATATCATACAGAAGTTCACTGAGTTAGAAGCAGTCAATGTTTATTCGATGTGTGTAGTATGTCTTTCTTATAATAAAATCTTCAATGTTATAGACTAGAAGTTCAAAATATTTCAAACCTCTAAGAGTAGAATGTAACAACGACATCGAGGTAGCATGTGTTACTGCAAAATTATGAACAGTGTTTCTGCGAAACTGTTACTCCTAGGTTTATATGCTATTTAATATTTTTTCTGTTTGTTGTTCTTCGATGATATTGTTTTTATATCATTAATAGTTTTAAAAATGCTTTAATGGTGAAAAAACAACACAGATCGTGTTCAATAAATATGTACGTACGATCACAATATTGCTACTTTTCTTGTCTAAAAGGAGAGTTTGTGTTTATATTTGAATAATTTTTTAAATAATGAAAAGTCCCGACTAGTAGAAACACCATTGAAAGTTGCTGTAAAGTAAATAAAGCAAAGGATAAAAACGGTATTTTTTAATTTTGAAATTGAAAACACCTTTTAAAAAGTTAAGAATAAAATCTTATTAAGTGACGTGTTTGAAGGTTTTGGTATTTGTGATTTGTATAAACAAGGGAGATTTTAATATGCCTATAAACGTATGTATGTATATACATGAGCGTTTTAAATTATTCTATTTGAAGAAACTATTGAAATTATATTTTAAATCTTTATGTAGACAGTCTTTTAAGACTGCTTAAATTGGTAAATTTTCATTGCCTTTTTAAAATTAGTACATATGTCAATACAAAAACAAACGATAGATTTTATCTAAAGACTTAGCTCAGTTACAAGAGCTCAAGAAATAGTTATTATTAGCTTTTTTCTGCTCTTTATAATGACTGTGAATTATGTATTACATTACAGCTCTCCTTTTTCATTTCTATTCGTTGATTTTTAATATCTTTATCAGTGTTGTCCTGCTCAAGTTTAGAACTTACAATTAAAAGAATACAATTAATTTGATTTGATTTGACACTCTTATGCAATAGATAAAATGTTTAAGTTCAAAGATATTCTCTAAATATTTTTTCCCAAATTTGAAAGTTTAAAAATTCTGATAAACTAACAAATTATCGGTAATGCTCTTATTAAAGTTTATGGTTATTAAGTTTTATTTCACATTTTATCCATAACCTATACATAACTATGTGGAAGTTTAAGAAGTAAATTAATATATTTCGCACAAAGTAAAATATAACATTATAATGATAAGTTGGAATCATCTTTCTATGTATTTTTAATTTAATACTTTTCACAAATCTAATGAACATTTTCAGGATAAAGATGAGAATGACTATTTTAAACCACACACATTTTGCAAAACGGAAAAATTAAGGATTATTGTAAAAATGCTAATTATATTTTTCTGTGGCCAATATACGTAAAAGTAACGAGAAAAAGATTCAATTCAATTTTTATTAACTTATTTTATTGTTGTATGTAAACAAAAATACCACTCAATGGTATAAAGTATTATGTAAAATTGTAAAACGGAGATTTCAAAAATAAAATTAGTGTTAGCAGACATTATTAAAACTGTGTTATTACTTTTCAGTTCTAGCATTTATTGTTTTAGTTTTATGTAATCTAAGTATGTCTTACAAATGTTCTACGAATCATGTACAATTGATTTGGTGTTTATTTTATTTTCTTCTTTGGCGTGCTTTTCAAGTCACCCCGACTTATGTGAATTTGTGTTGCTTAAACGTAGTATTTATTGAACGCTGACGTCCACGTACAGTGAAAAGCTTATGACAAATCTGGCAAAATCTGTGGTCTAAGGTTGGCCTTCGTCCTTATTACAATAGAAATCGGGTGTTAGTGCGTTACCTTGGCCATCAGACTGAACTCAATATGGGGTTGCAATCCAGAAGTTTTTTCTGAGCAGGGATTTATGGGCTCAAACCCTGGGATCCCGACCGGCATTCAAACTCTTTTTAACTATCTATATTAGTATTAGTAAAAGTAATTAGGTTATCTGCATTCCTTATCTAACTTATATTATTAAAAAAATAATGAGAACACAGGAGATTAGTAAAACTAAGCATTTGGAATAATAGCTTTGCTATTAAACCTGTTGTCTTACCTTACGAACTCTTAAATCGGATCCATTTTGTATGTGGGACTGACTGCGTTACCATCATTCAACAAGAAGGATCAATGAGTATCCAAAATGCAAACAATTAAACTTGAGTCCAGAAAGCTTTATATTAGCTTTTAATTAAGTTTAATCAAGAAACTGCGTAGTTAAAAATGTTCATGCAATTTGGTTAAGTATTGCCATTGTGAGAATAAATCTAATCAAAAGTTATCGGTGACAACCCTTTGGTTCTAATACAATCTCGAAAATTCCTGGATTCTTTTTCCATAAATCCTCGGATTCGAGTAACCGTTTTAGCATACTGGATCTCGGGATTACAACTCCTAAGCTCGATGGACTGATAAATGGAGGAATTAGTTCCAAAGGGAGCATAGGACCTGGAACATCGTTCTAATAAAGTACCAATAACCTGCTTTATTTTAATAAGCCTCGAAGATTAGTTTAAAACACCTAGATGTGTTATAAAAGATTTTCAGTTCTCAAGTTATTATATTAAAAAGTTACTCTACATATTTAAGCGATCTGAAATATATATTTTTTCCATTTTAAACGGCTTTAATTTCGTCATTCTTCTTAAAATAAAGCGAGCTATTAGCAATTTATAGAAACTCCCTCACTTCGGTTTTAGATCAAAGCTAGATTTTGTTGTAAAGTAACATTTCTTTCATTTCTATGCAAGAGAGACTCCAGGACGAAAGAACTGTAGTGGTATGCACTATATTACGCAATGCAGTTGTGTAAATTGTTGTTGTAGTATTCGTTTCCTGTGGCTACTTCACACAGTTCCACTGTTTTGATATTTTTATTAGTTTTGAATGGTGAAGAATTTGAATAATAATTTAATCTTCGTATCGTCCAGTAACTCGTCTGGATATAGAGTATTCATAGCCCAAACTCGGGCACTTATCTTGTTTTAGAAGTACATTATAGTCATTTCGAAGTTTCTGTTTCTTTTATTTGCATGTTTAAACGCGAAGCTGCACAATGGGCTACCTCAGCTGTGCCTAACCCAGAGATCGAACCCCAAATATTTTCCTTATATGTACTAAAGCTTATCTTTTACCACTACAATAGTCAATTTTGAAATGATGGAACTTTTATTCAAAATTTAAATATCAATTAGAGGATCAAATAAGCAATGATGCGACCACACGTTCTTATGTGAAAAATGTATTTAAAATAATAGACTATAAGTTTATTTTTATACATTATTAAAGTACTACACATACGAATTACTTCTTATTAACTTGTTCGGGGGAAATAGGAATAAAGCGTAATTTATCCCAAATAACTTGCGTTTGAATATGTTTTGTTACATTTCGATTGTATATTGGCTATAATGGTATTGTCCAACTTATGTTTTGGAACCGATATTTTTAACCCAGTAAAATGGTGTTAAGTAACAGTCCATGTCGTTATTAAAGTTTGTCTCCATTCCTAAGTTTCGGTAAAAATTGAGCTTTGATATAACTTTACATTGTTCACACCTCAGTAACTTTAAGGTACCATTTGCACATTGAATTGATCTATCTAGTTTGATAAAGTCCTCTAAACCAATAAGATAAAAGAAAGCTTTTGCACTGTGATCAAGCTGAGTCGTGGGTTCAAATCCCCGTCCCACCAAACGTGCTCGCCCTTTCAGCCGTGGGGGCGTTATAATGTGACGGTCAATCCTACTGTTCGTTGGTAAAAGAGCAGCTCAAGAGTTGGCAGTGGCTGATGATGACTAGCTGCCTTCCCTCTAGTCCTTAACTGCTAAATTACGGACGGCTAGCGCAGATAACCCTCGTGTAGCTTTGCGTGAAATTCATAACAAACAAACAATCTATGTTTAAGTTGTTTTATTCATTCTCTTTGCTTTAGTTTTTAGCCAGTTTAGCACATTATGATTACGAGTAAAGGAGTTAGTTTTAGTTTTTGCCATCTTTACTTTTTGATTTTAGTTCATTTTTAGTGCCATTATATATTTATCTTTTGGTTTTGATTTAGAGCTATATTTTGCCTATTGTTTATTTATAACATAAATAATTTTTCTCCGTGTCTAAGCTTTTGGGGCTTATAACGCTAAAATTCGAGGTTAGATCCTTGTGGTGGGCACAGTGCAGATAGCCTAATGTGCAACTTTGCGCTTAAAAACCAAATAAACAGATGAATAAGTTTACTACAAATCATAGTCCAAACTTGATTTATTATTCGACTAATACTGCTGGGATACATACAACTGAAATAGTTTAATATTCAAGGTTCTCTCGAACTATATATCACGATATGACATATCAGCCGTTTAGAGTTTTCATAATAATACGATTTTTAAATGTTATAATCACGAATAAAGATTTTTTTGGCAATCATTTTGAGCTGGTATAATTCAGAGTTTGGGTTTCTTTAAAAACTAAGTATTTGAAAAGCATTATCCGACAACTGTTTATGTATAACTGAATTAATAACATTTAATAAATTGTGAATAAGTCTACTCTAAGTGCTTCTTTTGTGCTGATTTAATTATTCCATTTTTATCCTAACTTTGTGGTAGTAGCCTTTTAGTTAATGGTCATTTAATTCAGTGCATGCGTTTAATAGTTCATTATTTGAAAGTTCACTGGAATATACCGAATAAATAAAACATTAGTACATACGCATCAGGTTATTTTTTAAAAACGAACAGATCTGCAAAGGTTATTATATTGAAATGAATAAATCCTGAACACATCAGTGTTAAAAATGTATATACATATATCTTTTAACAACATAATTCACCGAACACAATCAAAACTATAGCAACTATTATAACTTACAAAGTCAATTATAGAATATTTCTCGATTAATCTGCCTTTTGTAATGTTCAGTTGTAATGTTGTTGAACTAAAGTTGAAAATTATTTTTCTTGTTTTTTATACTTTTGTAATTATTTGAGTCGTAAACATATTTGAAATGGAATAATATAGACCAACGAGATCCAATTATTGATAAAAAAAAAGTTCCTTGCTTCAGCAGGACGAATACTGTGTGCATGTATTCACACAATATTTCATCTCTTCTCGTCCCACATTTCAATACCAAAGTCCTTTTTCCTTAGAGTAGGTGTGAAATAACCTGTTTTTGGGAGATATTATAACGAAATAAAAGAAGATCAGCAAACATCATATACATATATATCTGAGTAGATTCCTCTCTGTGTTCCTAATCTTGCAATTCACCAGTTCTCTTCAGTTGCTTTGTCCGCCATGAGAAAGAAGGGCTTCTAAAATAAGAAAAAAATTAAATAATATTTCAATTCTGAAACTTAGTCGTGTATAATGTTTAGACGAACACATAAATACGTATCTTTGCTCTACATGATATAAATTTGGACAAACGATAACATCATTAAAAATAGAGAAACTAGGCACCTCTTTTATTATTATACAAATTAAGTAATAATTTCCAGTGGGAGTACGTTATGAGAGAGCCAGCCACATCCCACCATTCGATCAAATAAGAGTATACCACGAGATGGCAGTGGATGCTGTGGCGCAAAGTTAGTGACGGATATGCGCTGGTGTAGCTTTGCGCGAAATTAAGAAACAAACAAACCAAATAATTTTCATCAGTGCCAATAACGTAACATTAATGTATAAAAATACTGCGATTGGCATTACATAACTGTTAAAACACGTGTACTACATGCTCGACAGTTCCTAACCTGTTTCAGTAGGGCATTGAGCATTTTATATTTTGCCTTAATTTTCTTACTTTGAATAATTTATTAGAAAATATGACAATAGCCTTCATACCAATTTTCAAACGACAGTGATTTAAACTAGGTCTCATGAAGTAAATATAAATCACAAAATTTCAGACCTTCTACTAAGTTCAAACTTATTTTCTTTAAGAAGACCTCATTGAAGAAACCGAAACGTCGTCCCCTTTTCATTCAACAGACAGTTGCAGTCCATTAAAGTTCTCAAACTTACTGTCTACTTTGCTCAAAGTTCCACTTAAATAATACATGAAGAAAGCTTCAGTATAGAAATCGAAACGTCGTCCCCTTTCATTCAATAGACAGTTGCAGTCCATTAAAGTTCTCAAACTTACTGTGTCTACTTTGCCTAAAGTTCCACTGAAATAATACATGAAGAAAGCTTCAGTATAGAAACCGAAATTTCGTCTCCTTTTCATTCAACAGACAGTTGCAGTCCATTAAAGTTCTCAAACTTACTATGTCTACTTTGCCTAAAGTTCCACTTAAATAATACATGAAGAAAGCTTCAGTATAGAAACCGAAACGTCGTCCTCTTTTCATTCAACAGACAGTCGCAATCCATTAAAGTTCTCAAACCTACTAATATTTATCTGTTATATCTTCAATTATATGGATATTTTTTCAATAAATATCTTTTTATTTATTATTCCGTCAAAAATGTAGTATTTGGTCGGCTGGCCACTTCAAATAGTTTAACAATTTTCACATTAAACTGGAAGGTCTTAGAAATACCTAAGTTTTGTTTTAAACGCTTGCAGATGTCCATACTAGGTATACATCCCTATTAAAAATACAGGAAACACTGATATGAGACTCATAATTAATACTGGGTTTCATGAAGGGACAGTGTTTTTTTATGATTGCAGTAAACAGAACGCAGAAATGAGCTTGATTATTGTGAATTAATTTAACTTTTTTTTACCAGCATCGTGATCCGATAAAATGTTGTCTATTTACTTAATATAATAATAGCAAAAAACAAATCGGTGATCTCAATCCAGGGTGCCCGAAAAGTCTGGAACCATAGGCACTGCAATGACTTTTACAGAATGTGTTCCACATGTTGTCCTTGTAATTCGAAACAACTTTGGATTAACAGCGGGATTAACTCGACTTTTTCATGCTTTGACAGAACTATAATCAGTCACCTATCTGAAATTAAGAAAAGCTGCAAATTACCAATGGTTTCAGACTTTTCGGACACCCGGTATATATCATAAATATATTAGTGTAAACAGAAATGATAGGACTATTCTTACCATTGTTAACATCCTAATGAAAGACGTTTTCCTTAAACTAAAGGTCTGTAAGAGAAATTTGCTTGTTTTAGCGCAAAGCTACACAATAGGCTATCTTCTATGATAATCAAACCCCATATTTTAGAGTTTTAAGTCCGTAAGCTTACCGCTGACCGACAGGGGGAGCTGCAAGATAAGTGACCGGGAGACAACTATTAAAAAGTTTACAATTTTCCGCCCAGATCGTGGATAATTTTCGCTCCTAAAACAGTTCAGCGTAATATAAATACATCTATAATGGAGCCTTTGTGAATGAAGTTTTATCATTGAATGTAGCCATAAGCAGCAGTGGAAAGAATCTATCAAGGCTGTTTAGAAAAAAAATTCGCCGAAGAATTTTAACTAAGAATAATATATAATAACATGGAAGACAACGCTAAAGTATATTCAAATTATGTACATAGTTATCTAAACAATTATTTAACAAAAGGCTGTGTGTGTGTGTCCGCTTATAACTGGCGAACAACTGGACCAATTCTCACCAAGCCTGTTACGTAGCTTTAGAGCAGCAGCATTTAATTCCGTGTACAGAAAGTTTTCTGCTAATTTGTAACAAAAAGAGGGATCAAAGTAAGAAATAGTATACATATTTGGAGTTGGTATGTTCGTTAACATTTATATCTACGTCATTACCTTACGTCAAAATTTGGGGAAATTCCTGTTTTTAGACATAAACATACATATAGATATACATTTTTATTAAATGATACAACACCGACACGTATTAGTAATTATCATTATACCAACGACGTACTGGATCTTTGTATGTGCTCTACATCTGTTCTTCCATCTTTTACACCATTCAGTGTGGGTGAAGACGCAGATAGTGACCATTTACCGATTTGTGGTATCTTTGATTTCGCACCAAACACATACAAACCAAAATTCTATGAAAAATTCATCTATAAAAAATCTAACCGACTAAAGTATTCAAAAATTAAACGTACTTCTTCAAAACCACCTCTCCAAGAAGCAAAAGCCAAACAAGAAATAAACTGCTACTGCTCAACAATCTCGGAGATCCTCGTAAATACAGTAGAAAAATACATTCCAAAAATAAAAAACTGCAAAAATTACACAACAAGGAAACCACACAGACTACTAATAGAGAAAATACAAGAACTCAGAAGACTAAGACGAGAATACGTGAGAGCAAGAGATCACCAAACAAGAACTCAGAAGACTAAGACAAGAATACGTGATAACAAGAGAACACCAGACAAGAACTAAGACGAGAATACATTATAACAAGAGTTCACCAAACAAGAACTAAGACGAGAATACTTGATAACAAGAGATCACCAAACAAGAACTAAAACGAGAATACATGATAACAAGAGTTCACCAAACAAGAACTCAGAAGACTAAGACGAGAATACGTGATAACAAGAGTTCACCAAACAAGAACTAAAACGAGAATACATGATAACAAGAGTTCACCAAACAAGAACTAAGACAAGAATACGTGATAACAAGAGATCACCAAACAAGAACTAAGACGAGAATACATTATAACAAGAGATCACCAAACAAGAACTAAGACAAGAATACGTGATAACAAGAGATCACCAAACAAGAACTAAGACGAGAATACATTATAACAAGAGATCACCAAACAAGAACTCAGAAGACTAAGACGAGAATACGTGATAACAAGAGTTCACCAAACAAGAACTAAAACGAGAATACATGATAACAAGATATCACAAAAAAAACAAAAAACTATGACGAGAATACATGATAACAAGAGATCACCAAACAAGAACAAAGACGAGGATACACAATAACAAGAGATCACCAAACAAAAACAACAACACTGGGACAACTACTGTTCACAATTAAACACAAAAACAGATCCTAAAGAATTTTGGACATGTATAAAAAGAATAACTAAAAATAATTGAACAAACACAAAATTATATCCAACACTCAAACACAATAATGAAATTGCATACACAAATAAACAGAAAGCAAGCTACAAAAAACCTTTAAAACACCAAACGAACTAAACATGAATAATTACTTTCTTAATGTAATAAATAATTGCATAAAGACGAGTAACCGTCTATACACACCCAACTTCAATTCAAACACACCTCACAGATAAAGCCAAGTACGACCACATAACAAAACAACCAATAAAAACCGCAGAAGCCATAAGTAACATAAAAACACTCAAAAATACAGCACCAAGACAGGGCAGAATACAGAACATGCTAATAAAAAGGTACTTCAGAGGCTGCACTAGCACCTGGCAGCACTATTTAACCTGTCTATCAAATCAGGATACTTACTAAGCGCTTGGAAAAATAGCTGTTATTTTTACGTTCCCAAAGGAGATTAAACCAGCAATTAACTCGTAAAACTAAAGAACTATCAGGCTAACTAGCTGTATAGGAAAATTGCTAAAATAAATCTTAAACGATGGATTATTCACTTATCTAGAATTAACTTCAAACTACCAGAAGTTCAAAACGGCTTTAGAAGATACCGACAAACTACTGATCACTTACTTAGATTAACAAAGAAATAATAAACAATAAAAACCATTGCACGTTAACAGAGGAAATAATAAAAACCACTGCACATTAACAGATAAAATAATAAAAACCACTGCACGTTAACAGAGAAAATAATAAACAGCTTACATAAAAACCACTGCACGGTTGGGTGTTTCGTCGACTTAAAGAAAGCATTCGACAGAATTTGTCACTACGGTCTTAGATATAAAATGTCCAAAATGGCCAACTGAAATTATTCGCTGGTTAGAATAAATGACACCTTCTCAAACATCTTCATCTCCGAGGCAGGAGTCGCACAAAGATTCAAGTTTTTTTATGTACTACGGTTTGTTTGTTTTGTTTTAAATTTCGCACAAAGCTACACGAGGGTTATCTGCGCTAGCCGTCCCTAATTTAGCAGTGTAAGACTAGAGGGAAGGCAGCTAGTCATCACCACCCACACCCAACTATTGGGCTACTCTTTTACAAAACGAATAGTGGGATTGACCGTAACTTAATAACGCCCCCACGGCTGAAAGGGCGAGCATGTTTGGTGTGACGGGGATACGAACCCGCGACCCTCAGATTGCGAGTCGAGCGCCCTAACCACCTGGCCATGCCGGGCCTTATACTAATGAGAAGTGTAAATGGTTTGTGCATTTTTATCGCATAAGATATGGTGAGTTTCAGTAACGTAAATTATGAAGGGACAAAAAAACAACAGAAAATGGAAGTGTAGTGAATGCAGAGTTGTAGTATAATACTGATAATACTGTAATAGATGGTGGTGGTGCTGGAAATCTGCCAAGTACGAGTTAGTGTCAGAATAATGACAACAGTCATGTACTAAAGCGCGTGTGGAGGACGTAATAACGAATGATCCAGGAAATGAATGAACGCTTAAGACTGAGAAAAAAGAATATCACGAAGAAAACGTGGTTAGTGGGATTTATACTGCGGAAATGAAGAATGTAATGTTAAAGTTGAAGAGTAATAACTGGATTTAAAAAAAACAGCTCAATACACATCAAATATGATAGATAAATTTTTCAGTACAGTTTATAAACTAACGCAAAAAATAAAGGAACTTAAAAGTAAAACTCAGTAACTGGAAAATATAGATTTAGAAAAGAATAAAGCTAATAGGTTTATGAGTTGAATCAAGACTTGACTAACCAAAATTTGAAAGTATAGGAGTATCAAACGAACCAAAAAAAAAGTTAACAACATTGTACGCTTGTTTGTAGTTATGCACAAAGCTACACTAAGGGCTATCTGTGATCTGCCACCCACGGGTATCGAAACCCGGTTTCTAGCATTGTAAGTCCACGGACATACCGCTGTGTCACTGGGGGGCACATTGTATGCAAAATACCAATAAAATTAGTAAGGAGGAGATAGAGGCTGTACACAGAGTTCCATCGTGAACACAGACAGGATTAAAGTTATAATAGCGAGGTTTATATGAGTGAGGGGTAAATGTTGAGTAGTTGAAATGAATAATACAAAGCAAATTTTGTTTGTTTGTTTTTTGAATTTCGCGCAAAGCTACACGAGAGCTATCTGCGCTAGCCTCCCTAATTTAGCAGTGTAAGACTAGAGGGAAGGCAGCTAGTCATCACCACCCACCGCCAACTCTTGGGCTACTCTTTTACCAACGAATAGTGGGATTGACCGTCA